AGAAGCTGTCAGAAAAAGTCGCAGCGTAAAAGCACAACATTTCCCTCTAAAACACAGTGGAGATGTAGCATAAAATGGAAATACCTTAAAACAATGTCTCTAAGACTGGTACATAAGTAAATGTACTAAACTTTCCACCGCTGCTACGTCCAAACAACCACATTTGTAGTTTTAAATGCAATTCCTGGGTTGACAAATTAGTGGTGAGCAGTAAACCAACATCCAGGCTTTTAAAAATTAAAAATAAAAAGTCCTCCCCCACTTCACTTTTTGGCAAAAGAGCAAATTGACATGCTCTTACTGTCCTCTTCTTCCTCTAGATTGAGAGTTGAGCTTCTCCCTTCTGGGCAGAGATTCAGAGGTCTGACAAGGTGAGAAATCCTTTTTTCTTCTTCTCTTTTGCCATTTAACTGTTGTAAGCTCAGGATAATGATGATGTTTAAACCATTGTTGATTGGGTTGGATGATGATGATGATGATGATGATGGATGGATGTGCTCCAGCTTTTATGTTACGCCGCTACTTGATGTACCTTGTTTTATGGCAGTGTGCGTCGTGTTTTATGTATTTTATTTATTATTCTTATGCATCTCATTTTCAGTCGGTGTGAGTTGTGTTTCACCTGGCTACAAGACAAATTTCCCCTTGAAGTTCAAATTGAAGTTGGGTGGGAGCTGTGAACTGGCATTTGGCCTTGTAAATAATGACAGATTTTAATTTCCCTCTGCCCCTCTTAACACACTCACACACACACTTTAAAAAGCCCTGAGTGAATGGAGCGGGGAAAAAGGAGAATAAACGAAGCAGCGGCAGATGTTTGTCCGTCTCGCTTTAAAAAATGTCAACTGAGGTGAAGTGTTTCTCACTGACTGTGATACTAATAGCACTAGGCGCTGGAGCACGACTTTTCATCACTCTTATGCTTTTAGATTGTTTGTGAAAGAGGAAAGTGTCAGAAAGCACATGGTTTACTCTTACTTTTTTCTGTTTGCTGTTGTCCTTGAACACGTGATGCCTGCCCTCCATCAAAGTGATGAGTTGGCGTATTCATGCGCGTGTCTGTGTGTGAGAGTGAGAAGATCTGAACACATACTTTGTTTTATCCATCAACGTTTGGACTATACCGCGGAACAGAAGTGATGAATCTGTTTTCCAAATGAGGTAAACTAACGTTTGTAGTAAAAAAAAAAAAAAGGCCGTATCTGAAAACACCCAAACCGTAATCTCTCCATGTCAGAAGAAGTTTTCTGGTGCTCTTCCCTCCCTGCCTCTCAGGCTTGGATGGAGAGAGAGAGAGAGAGAGAGAGAGAGAGAGAGAGAGAGAGAGAGAGCCTCCGGTGTGTGATGGGCTGTGGGCTGTAAGATCCTTGAAAAACAATCTGACAGATGAAAAAGACCCTGAAGTAGGATGGGGGCGAGGCAGAAAACATGTGTTTCTTATTCATATATATTTCTCTCTTACATTCTCCTCGTCTTTGTCTCTCTCCTCTTCCCATTGTCTTTCAAACCTTGTTTTTCACTCTGTCTTTTTTCTCTCTGTGTTGCTTGCTAACACTGAAACACACACAGATATACATCGATTGGTTGGAGAGTCATACATTACTTACACTGAACATATAATGATGTAACATACGTAAATGTGTCCTGTAAGGGTTTTTAATGCAAGAAATTTCAGTGAAAAGCTGCATTAAGCCATTTACAAAAAAAAAACAAAAACATGATTTTTGGTACCAGATACAGCCTCCCTTACAGTTTATGATATCCTTAAAATAGTTAAAATCTTTGCACATATTTACCTACTCTGAGAGTTCACTTTTGGACTACCAGTTATTATTAAAAATGTATTGTGGTGCTGATGTCTGAAAGAAATCCTCATGCAACAAATATTTTTGGCCTGTGCTCATTGTTTATGAAAATATCAACAAAGCAGTCCTTCCTTTTTTGAACGCAGCCTAATTTTGTAGGTTTATTTTGAGATTTCTATTTGAAACACTTCTCTATGAAAGGCTTGAGTTAGTCAACTGATCTCAGGTGACAGGCCATTTTAATTAACGATGTTCATTTTGAAATTAACATTTGAACTACTTTACTTTAAATATTCTAATTATTCATATTAACGGTGTTTTAGGTCCTTGTCAGTCTACAGTATAAGTTAAGATCAGTGAAGAACATCCACTTTCACAGCTGTATGATCCTTTGATAAGTTCAAAACATTTTCACTGTCTCACCTCAAAACCAACTCATGTTTAATAATAGTAAGTGCATTCATAAAGTAATTAATATTAATAAGATTTGTTTCTTGGAGTGGCTGTTCTTTATGCAGCCTCCAAGGTGTCACATTTTCAGTTGGCGACTGCTGTTTGATATTGATCGCTTTAATCAATTTCAAAGTAGCACGCTGAAAAAATTACAATTATGTACCCTAAATTAAATGTCACTATAAAATGAACAGGGTTGCCTGTGGAATAACGCCTGTTATTTCCTGTGTGACTTTTCAATACAGAATCTATAAATGTTTAATATCTTGACGTTGATGCCACTTTTAGTGTTGAAAAATGAGTCGATACAGGAGCTCTGCATTTGCACTTAACCGTCCTATAACCTGCTGTTCATTCTTGCTAAATTGCTCCTATAGGAACAATAACAACCTACTCTATGTCGGCATAATCTCATACAATTTCCATGCAGCTTTAGGCCAGAGGGCAGTGGTGGACATAATAAACCCTGTAATCACACTGTTTGTGGTGCCACTTTATATAATCCACCTCTCCTCTCCTCCCCTCCCGGGGTTGAAGGCGATGCTCCTGCGTCATCACACTGCTCCCACCTTCCTAACATTACATTTAAGAAGCCTAGAGGGAGTGGGATTAATGCAGCCCTACAATCCAGAGCTTTGATATTACTGCATAGTTCAAAGGAGGTCGCTGCCTTGTAATCCAATGTATCAGGACCATAATGTAATGATGCTAATGGTTTTACACACAGTGTGACTCACAATTGAAAAAAAAAAGTCGACCATGCTCAGTGGCTCGCACCACATTCTCTATGGGCTTCTCTGGCACTGTCATAAGCCCAGGACTTGACCTACAGGTCACAGGTATGAGACTCATTTTACCAAAAGCATTTTGAGTGCATTGGTGTCGCACTGATGCACCAGAGAGCAAAAGGTAGCCAGTGTCATGAAGAGAAAGAGACTTTTTAATTTATTTGTTTTGATGTCCTCCTTCCAGCTCAATTTTCTCCTGACACAATTATCTGTTACACTGACTTGTAATTGTTAAGATATTTTGTTTACAATCATGAGAGTGATAGTTGGCTGCATAACAGAAAAAACATAAATCCTCACATTTGAGAAGCTGACATTATTAGAGTTGCAGAATCATTTTTATGATCATCAATTATTTGACTCTTTTCAGCCGTGGTGTAGAGTGACTTTGCTGCTGAGCCCTGAGCATCACTACATCCCTTTTGGCACAGGCCAAAGCTTTATATCCTGAAATCAAAGAGTGATATTAACTCTGGAGGGAAAAGTCCATTTTTTCAGACTCAATTAACTTCTGTGATTTGAAATGTACTGTATTGTCCTGTGACTGCAACTGGACGGATGTCCTGGGTGCCATTTAGATCACACTTTATTGTGACCCCCTGCACTTCACATTGATAAGCATTCATTTATACTCAGTAAATGGCTTATAACACACTGTAACACTCTATATTGTAGTCATTAAGCATTTGTAACTGGTGCATTAAAAGTTAATGAATCATTAACAATATGATATAATAGAGTTGTAATCTTATATGATGTGTTGTAATATTTTACATGAATAGTACAAATAGTATTTTGTTAAATTAATTATAGTTATTTATTGTATTCATCAGTTAAGTTATTATGATCATATTAAGTGTTTATGTATTCATAAATACTTCATCACAACTGAGCAAAAGATGTTGCTTAAAAAGCTCTGGAAGAAATGCAGTAAGTGGACCTTGAGTTACTGTTTCTAACTAAACGTCCTCAACACAAAACAACATGTTATTAAATGATTCATAACAAACTTTAAGCAGTCGTTAATGTGTGTGTATTCATATTTCATTTAATGTGATTACAGCCTTGTTATTCCTTGTCATCAATCATTGATTAACTGCTATGCAGCCTCAAAGATGCCTGACAGGAGGAGCTCTGGTTGTTGACACATACGGTACATTAATAAACACACAAATGTCCTCATATCTGCATACACCACATTACAGTGTGTTATAAATCATTTAAAAATCATTTTACATTTAGGTCTGCTGCTTATACATTCTTACCCCTAAATGAACAGTACTGCCACCGTGGAATAAGTATTAAAAAAATGTTATTTATGTGTCTTGTAACCTGCATGCACCGTCCTGAGTGTCTGACATGGGTGTCATCTCTAAATTGCCACACGGTATATTACATTCTGGTCTGTCCATGCTCACTTAGCCCACCCGCCACCTTGACCGACCCATGATGCCTTGGGCCAAATAGCCACCCATCTTGTGAAGCGTGCAGGCCTTATTGGGACTTCTTCCTGAAAGTTGTTTTCCTCCTCCTGACAGTCTTTATCTTTTGTATCTGCTATAAGTGGATTCGTGTCTGGGATTTGTTTGATCGACGAGAGCAGTTATAGCAGTGAGGAGTATGTGGTCTTTTTTTCCCCTCTACATTATGTGGTATTATGAGTGCATACTAAATTTAGCACTGCTTTTCTAGATGTTGATGCAACCAGGCTGTCTTCTCAAATACTCAAAGCTATATGGTACTGTATAATAACCTAATGTAGGAAAAAGATGTTTGATGCTCTCTCAGGATTTTTTTTCGCGAGCTATTTTCTTTCTCAATCTGTTGTTTCAGTCTTTACCACACACACAGGGGACAACCTGAAATAGGGATGGGAAGGGGGAGCTCTGGAATTGGAGGAGAGAGAGAGAGAGAGAGAGAGAGAGAGAGAGAGACTGAGAACATATATCATGAATGTAATACCAGCCTTCATTTTAGAAAACAAATTGCCTGTCTTCTTTTGCTTTTGACTCTGAGATGGATTTGATGGATAGGCAGAAGGGTTTGTTCCACAACCATTTGCTGTAAGACATCAAATACACCATGCACTCCACAGCCTGATCGCCCATCATCATCACAATCATCATCATCATCATCCCTGTGGCCTGTCGAAGCAAATTGATAAGTTGCTCCTGTTTTGTTTGCTCAACAACACAGTCAATGATTCATTCCTTATATGAAGATGTGATGATGATGATGATGATGATGAGACAGGTCCCAAGTGAAACTGTTACGTTTTTTTTCTCACAACAGGCCCTGATCTGTGCTTGGCTCATTAGCTATTTAAACAAAGATGGACTCATTCTTGATGACAAACTTTGATTGCTTTTATTGTGTCAGTGCTACAAAGCTCATGGTGTGGGACAAAACCCCCGCGTGTCTCAGGATAGAATGCATGTAATCAGCACATGACACGTGTTGCGTGGCAATAAAGCGATGGCTGCCGTCGCATATAGGCTATATAATGTAGCTACAACACTGAACAAACATGAGCTTGTACGTTAAGAGCGAAAGTTCCCGTCTTGTCTCATTTCATCAGCGGATAGCGACCCTGGGTTTTCTTTTTTCTTTTTTACACGGTCCTTAAACACACACTGAAAAAGAGACTGTCCCTGAATGAAAAGCCCCCCGCCCCGCCCCCATACAGTCAGCGAACATTTCCTGCTGTCCGTTCATTCACTCCACATCTAAGTAAACGCAAATGTTTTCACTGTGTGTGGTTACGGTCTGTGGAATTTGCATCTAATGATCTTCTTGAAAGCACTTTGGAAGTCTTTGTTGAAGTAGGCATATATGATGGGGTTGAGGAGAGAGTTGGAGTAGCCCAGCCAGTTTATGACTGCGCCCAGCCAGTCGGGCATGTAGCAGCTCTCTGCACAGAAAGGCAGCACAAGTGCGACGATGAAAAAGGGCAGCCAGCAGAAGATGAAAGTTCCCATGATGATCCCCAGTGTCTTCACCGTTTTACGTTCCCTCGCCAGCGCGATCTTTCTCTTCGCCCCCGAGTTCTTTTCATTCATGTGTTCGTAGCCCTGCGAGGAGGACTGGGGCGTGTTGGGCAGAGGCAGGTGCGTTTTGGAGTTGCCGATAACTTCTATTATCTCAAGTGATTCACCCTCCTCTCCGTGCTTCACCGCGCCGTTTACGCACGGAGAGCTGGGCTTCGACTCGTCGCTGCGCTTCCAGCCTTTGCCCCCGTCCTCCCCGTTGGTTTTCTTGTGGAAGATGCCCGGAGACACAGTCAAGCACTTGTCGGACACTTTTGTTTTCTCGGGTTTCTTCACCGTCTTTCGAATCCGAAACCGAGCAGCCTTGAATATTCTGCCGTACAGGACCAGCATGAGAATGAGAGGGATGTAAAAAGCCCCAAATGTGGAGTAGATGGTGTAGCCCGGGTCCTGGCTGATGAGGCACGCGTTGGGGTTCGCCCTGTCTTCGGCGCTTCTCCAGCCTAACATAGGCGGAATAGAGATGGAGAAACCAATTAGCCAAGTCACGCTTATCAAGATCGCAGCTCGCCTCGGCGTCCGTTTATTTACATAGTCAATTGGGTCTGTTATGGCCCAGTACCTGTCCAAGGCAATTGCGCACAGATGCAGGATGGATGATGTGCAACACAGAACATCCAGGGAGATAAATAAATCGCAGATCCCCTGCCCCAGTGTCCACTTGTTCAAAACCTGGTAGAGGGCCGCCATTGGCAGAACCAGTACCGATACCATGAGGTCTGTCACTGCCAGAGATCCAATAAGATAGTTAGCCACATTCTGGAGAGATCTCTCCAGGTTGATGGCTGCCACGACGCACGCATTGCCAAATATGGAGCAGAGGATGAGGGCCCCCAAGAGCAGAGAGGTGATAATCTGGTAACTCAGCTTTACATCTGGCGGAGACCCAGAGCCCGTGCCATTCTCACTCCCGTCCCAGACGGCAACCACGTCCACCCCGTCAGGGTAACCGCTGGTCGCGTTGCTGCCGTTGGCGCTTGTTGTTATAAAATCCATAATGCGACCACACTGAGAGCGCAACTTTCCCAGAGCAGTGGGGGACACGCAATTGGACAGATAAGCCGGACCCAGTCAGCCCCTCAGACTGCTGCCGCTGTGCGTTTTACCGGGGTCCATCGGAGTTACCGCGTTCGTGCCGTCGCTCTCAGGACGCATGACGCAGAGGTGTTTGTGAGAATGTGTGCCTGTGTGTGTGTGAGGGGGTTTGTGTGAGTTGTAGCCCGTGAGTGTTGACAGCCGGGTGCGCTCACGGGTACTGCGAATCATCTGAGCTCGGTGACGCCGTGAATTCATTTATACCAGCAGCTTTGGGTACGTCAGACCGTGTGGAGGTCGCCCTGGAGTTTTGTGCCTCTGCTCTTCTTGTTGCTCCGTTTTTCACTGCAGACAGCCGACGAGAGCGCAGAGCTCTCCTTTCTTTTTCTCTCTCCTTTGTTTACTCTTTGGACTCACTGAATGTAACATTTTGTGGATTTTTTTAAGTTTACATCTCAAATGGTAGGTGCCAGTCAGGACTAAAACGTAATAGCCTAACTGAGTTATTACAAAAATAGCATGATAGCAAAAAAAAAATATATCGGCAGGTGGAAATAATAACTTAATTTTTCATTACTTCTTATTAACTTTTCGTTTAAGGCAATTTCATCTGAAACAGACATGTTTTGATATGCAAAAGACCTTAAAAAGAAACCCAGTAACAAGTATATAGTATTTAACGGCGCAACCATGCATTTCAAGCCGGGATGGAAGGAAAGGTAACATGCTAAGAGCGTTGGGAGCGAGAGGCTGTTTCAGGACCAAGGACAGCGCCACGACGGTGCAGAGAGGAGAGCTGCTGCCATCTGCTGTTTACAGCGGGTACTGCATCAGATGATGGCCACTGTTTTTCAGGCAAAGTTAGATGCTGTTGATGTGGATGTAGCAGGATCATATAACCCAAAATTAAAAATGAAAAGGGAAAATTTAAAGAAAATAGAACAGAAAAAAAATTCCTGCTGGTACTGTCGACTCAAGTGACAACAAGCCACGAGTTACAATGATGGGTAGAATGAGTCCAATATTTGTGTCCATAAAGTATAACCATATAGACTAAATATATGAAGGATGAAGCTCAAAGCGTCATTATTATCTCCCACTATAGCTACAACAGTGAAGTCAACGCCGCCTTGACATTCTGCTCCGCATTCTCGTTGAACTTGACTGACCCTCGTTGCTGCCTTGAGTCACAAAATGAAAATGAGTATGTAACTAGCTTAGGGCATTTAGCCATTCTTTTTACACCAACGTAACATTTTCACTTGAAGTTTAGTCACAGTCACACATGGATGGGTTTTATCAGAGGCCAGAAGTTTGAAGATTTTGCCTGAGTGTGCAATGTTGGCAAGCTAATGCCTGCTGCAAGCTGCACTTAATATTCAAAGTGGATTCACTCATTAATTTAACTCATAAAATACAAGTACATGGCTCGGTCCTGTACTCCTTCTGCCTGTATGACGCTATGTGTGGGGGCGTCAATAGCTGTGCAACGTGCAATGTCTTGTACTTTTGTTTAGTTTGTGGGTAACAGGTAATCCTTCCAAGAAACTGCTAGAATCATCGAAATGTAAGCATTCATTTGGAGAAGCAGACAGGTAAAACACTGTAAAAACACATCACTATGTATATCCTGACTTTATTGAATCTAAAGCCAGAGACCTAGAGAAGGCAGAAAGACAGAGAGGTGGAGGAAATGAGGGAGAGGGGCAGAAAAGAGAGATGGGGAGACGTTTTGGTCAGGCCAGTGGTTGAAGCTGATCCTGATCTTGTTCTTTACTTGTCAAGGCAACAGCTGCACAAACTGCAGCACAACATCAACAAGGAGGCGGCTTGTTCAGATTCTGTTGAAGCCATCTTCTCCTTCTTCTCGTTCTTTGTGGGAAGAAATGGAAACAAAAACAACACGTCAGTCCAGAAACAAACATAAAAGATGATCCGAAGACATCTTCAAGTCAAAGACTTGTTGTTTGGTCCAGAAAAAGCTTCATCACTACACAACTCATGAAGCCTCAGGACAGAGAAGCACAAACTTGGACATACAAGGATTCTCATGTTTTCACATCACTTAGAGAATGGAGGGAAGGAAATGAAAGAACAAAATCAGGAGGGAAGTTCAAAACTGTTGAAATATTTTAGATGAGGGATAAAACCTCTTCAAGAACAAAGAAGTCCAGTTGAGACAACTCGTTATGAATCCTTTATAGTGTCTCTGCTTTTCTGTTCTACAGGATCTGGTTGTGTCGGACTGTAGTGTCTCTACAGCCTCAGTGGACTGTAGTGTCTTGACAGTCTCGGTGGACTGTAGTGTCTCTACAGCCTCGGTGGACTGTAGTGTCTTGACAGTCTCATCAATCACCTGGTAGATTAGCATTTTGACTGCCTTAGTGATGGCTGTGTTGGTAGGGAAAGAAAAGGCAGTGGTGGCAGGTTGATCCTGTCTCTGTGGTCCAGTTTTCTGGATTCAAGAAGTTTTGACGTCCTTTAAAAATGTCATAAAGATGTCAGAATCAGGTCCACACCAGGACAAGGAAGATGTCATCCTACCCTACATGAAAACAATTCTCACATATACCACACAACAAATTTGTTATGTGATAAATTCACAAATGAGATTTAGCACATGTGAAACAGTATTCTTGCATGTGATCATGCATGAAACACATGAAAACATACATTTCACATGTGCTTGTGGCTGCATGCATTTTAATATTTGCTTTTATTTATTCACAGTGAGTGCATTGGCTTCACTGATTGCATTTTCCATGTAAATACAATTAAATATTTAGATTTACTCTTGTTCTTTATGTTTAATATTTGCTTCAGCTTCTGTATCGTGCATTTACTTCGGATGAGCTGGGTTGACTGTTTTTTTTTTTTTTTTCTGTGCTTAGTTATTATAACGAAGTAATTACACTTCACCTAACCCATAATAATAATGGGTGTGAAAAAAAATCTGAAGCTGTTCAGTTTTTCCTCTGATGAAGAATCTTCTCTTCCTTTTTGTTTTCTCCATTTCATAAATAATAAAGCAATCTGTTGCAACAAAGGGCCACTTCTTGCCTTCTCAAGTTATTATCAAACACATTTAGGTTTTATTAGAGTCTAAAGAAACTAAAAATCAGACATCAAATAAAGGAAAAGTCACACACACACACACACACACACACACACACACACACACACACACAC